GGAGCAAATTGTTTTTCCCTTCCTACCAAATCGAGAGAGTGAAACAAAATCCCTGGTTTCACAGAAATGTTACTTGAACCATTATTTTCCATTCCTTCCCATGACTTGCCTGTAACCATCTAAATTGTTTTGTATTTCATTTTGCCTTACGTTTGAGATATCAATGACTGAAGACTGGTGGGAGAGAAGCAACAAACTGAGTAAACTATGCCTGAAGGATATTTTTGTTTTTGTTTTCTAAAATAGTAATTACTGAAGAGCTGTTCTTTGAAATTTGACTATATATATTTTTTTTACTTTCAAAGGGGGGAAGTGTTTTGTGTTTTGTGTGTAAAAGTGTGATTGGATTAGTTTTGGGAACCACTGGCTGATGGCATAATTTGCACTTAAAGACTATAACTTTTACATAGCAGTACTTTGGTAGTAGAAACAGTAAATTGACATCTCTTTTATTTTTCTTTATTTTGCTTTATTACTAAGAACTAACTCCTACCAAATGAAATGTCCTCTTTTCTGTTTCTTAAGAAATAAGGTAGAGTGTATTAAGCAAAAGGATAATTCATATTTTAGGTTGGACAATTTTCCCTAAAAAAAATAAACCACAGTTGGTCCAAACAGATGAATGAAACATCTTTGACATCAAAGTATCCATCAAAGATTCTTGTTTCATTTGATAAGATTGATATTCTAATAAAAGATTTTTTAAAAAATCAAATAGCTATTCATTTATTCACTGTTAACTCAATGTCGTTTTATCAATGGCAATGGAGATATTAATACTAATTTAAAATTATTACTCTAAGATAGATAGATGGGTAACAGTCTTTTCCAGTTATACCATTACTGGGCCCTTTCAAATTTTGCCTCATGAATTTACAATCTCCTGTAACTTCTCGTTAGGAAAATCAGGCCCTCTTCTTTCAGACTAGCATGCATATTAACCTTTTAAAAATGAATTAACATACTGCCCAAGGAAGATGAATCTATTTTAGTAAGTGGATTTTCTTACAGGATGAAAAAATTGATTATAGGTTTAGGCAAGGTGATACTAAAGTTAACTTTGGGGTACTTTCAGAGAAGCATAAAAATGTCAATTTACTGTTCTCCAAGTCATGTATTTTAGTTCTTAGATTGATGTGGGATGGAAACGATACTTGTCTAGGTTGAGGCTTTCCGTTTCAATTTTGCCGCTATATCATGTATACTTTAATAAGACCCTTAAATCCTATGCATCCATTTCCCATTTGTAATGGACATGTATATAATATTTCATAGGTCATCTGAGAAGCTGATTCATCTAAGAAGTATTTGCTTGTTTACTATGTACGCTGATGGGGTGGGGGTGGAGGGGCACAAAGATGAATATATTAATAGGTTGATCATGGATTGCTTACCATCTAATAATGATGTTGAAACCCTTTTCATAAGCCTTGAAGAATTAGACTTGAAGTTTGGTCTTTGATTTTTTTTAAATTCCAAATCTTTCCCCTGGTGTCTTTAAACAGCATGATTCTTCATGCTATTTATACTTCAGATTCTTCAGAAAAACATGACAATGCTGGACTGATTTACACTTTGCCGTGACAAACACTTTTGGCATGACAATTTAACTTTACTTAATGCTATATGTGGAAAAACTCATCATCATTAGTGAACTAAAAAAAAATACAGAGGAGGGTAAACACCCTACAAAAGCACATTGGCTCTTACCAGAACCTTAAGCACAGCTAGACTATTTTAATTGTGTTTTAAAAAATTTTAAACCATAATTTTCAAAATGAAATTTTTTTTTTTTTTGAGACGAGTCTTGCTTTTTTGCCTAGGCTAGAGTGAGTGCCGTGCGTCAGCCTAGCTCACAGCAACCTCAAACTCCTGGGCTCCAAGCGATCCTGCTGCCTCAGCCTCCCGCGTAGCTGGGACTACAAGCACGACCACCATGCCCGCTGATTTTTATATTATAATTATGTTGCCAATTAATTTCTTTCTATTTTATGGTAGAGACGGGTCTCGCTCAGGCTGGTTTTGAACTCCTGACCTTGAGCAATCCGCCCGCCTCGGCCTCCCAGAGTGCTAGGATTACAGGCGTGAGCCACCGCGCCCGGCCTAAAATGAAAATTTTTAATTGCAAAGACAGGAAAGCTATTTCCACAGTGTATCAGTGTCTGAAGATATTTTCTTTTGTCAATGAGAAAGACACAACTTAAAAGCTTTTATTTCTTTTAAAGACAGGGTCTTTCTCTGTCTCCTTAGGTTGGGGTGCAGTGTTGTGATCATAGTTCACTGTGGCCTCAAACTCCTGGGCTCAAGTGAAGTGATCCTCCTGCCTCAGCCTCCCAGGCAGGCAGCTGGGACTACAGATGTGTGCCACCATGCCAGGCTATTTTTATTTTTTGTAGAAATGGGGCTCAGGCGATTCTCCCACCTCGGCCTCCCAAAGTGTTGGGATTACAGGTGTGCAAACACCATGCCTGGCCGTGTAAACATGTTTTAAAATACAAATTTATTCTTGCTTTTGGTTGCAAGTCTTATAGCAGTTTAATACAATTTGAGGTCTATAATTACAATGATGTGTTGTGAGTATAGGGCAGCTTTGTCACAACTATGAGAGTCCAAAACGTTTTGCTGGAATGCCATTATATAATTGGGGGAAAAGTAGGCACAGGCTAGGGTTTAGAAAGTTAACCTATTTCAAAAGGAATTAAGAGCAGAAATAAAATTTCTGGATGGTTGGTGTTAACCGTCGCAAATTTGCATTTCCCACAGCACACACTGCTTACAAAAGGTATACCAAAATAATTGTTACTCCAGGAAATAGCGTAATGGGTTGAGGTACTGTTCTCATTAGCTTTTAACTAAAGCATAGTGCGCCTTTTCCTAGCCATGACATTCAGCTCCAGACATATTTCCATGTGGCACATAAATCATAATGTTGGTCATTACAGCATTATGTGTTTTTTTAAGCAGGATGCTCTCCTCAGCAATGATATTCTTAAACAGCATTGTCTGTGACATCAATTCATTCAGCAGAAAAAAAGTTATGTTTAATAAAAAAAAGTCATATTACAGGCATTTCCCAAAGTAATAAATGTATTTGCAAAACTTTGGTTTAAGTGTTTAGGGAATAGTCACAGGGAAGAAGAGTCTTAATTTTCATAGCCATGTTCTTCTACCCTTCTCTTTGATTTCCACATCTGCTAAGGGTACTATGAAGGCCTAGTATGGCTATTATACTATAGCAGTAGATAAAGTATTGTGTAAAATGAAACCAGGCTGTGTACTGTTGTAAGACAATTTATTAGAACACAGTCCCTCACTCAGAAGCCAATGAGACATCAGGACAGCAGAAAGGAAGGTGGGGTGGAGTAGGCTCTGTGAGGGACCAAAGAGAAAGTGATAGCCTCAGTTAAGAAATTTCATTTTACTCTAATAAAGATTAATGCATGCCTGATAATCTAGTGATAATTCATAAGTTTAGTGGTTCACAATATTTTTAGAAAACTTATTAACATCCAAATAAGGCATTGTATAAACGGATATAAAGAATGAAATATTTACTATAATCCTTTAAGAAAAGCCTTGTCCATTTTGAAAGATCAACAATAAATTTTTGAAAAATCAAAGGAAAAGGAAAATAAGTTTTTCCCCCCTAGGATACATAAGAACTACTTGCTGGTATTTGTTTGTGCCTGGAATAAAATGGGCCAGATTTTCAAAGGCAGTTAATAACAGCATGTACAGGGCTTGTTTCATTTGATTTAGCACCAAGTAAGAGAACCTATGGAAGCATAGTTTTTCTTATCTCTCTTAAATTTCCCACTTTCTTCCAGGTCACAGTACATAAGCATGCGTCCTTGTTGCCCCACTAAGAATTGAAAATGATTTTATAGTATAAATGGCTGCTCACATGACAACTTGCCAGCAGATTCTTTCTCCTAAGACAGGTGACAGTAAAAGCTAGCAGATACCAATTCTTTGGAATAAAGAACTCTTCAGGAAACTCAGTTACTCTCCTGGTCCTTGTTACCCTATCATATACATTCTTTTTATTGCTACACCTGTTTACTAATTATGTTTGCTGTTTATGCCAAGGAATACAACCCCAGGTATGCCTATCTCTTTCTCTTTCCTAAAGTATGCTCATATGGCATGGTTTTCTCTTTTATTTTTTTCCTTTCTCTTTCTCTTCCTTCCTTTTCTTTCACTGTATCTTAGATTTATCAAGGCAAATGTGTTTGGGTCAAAGAGAAAAACTGCAAGTATATCCGAACAGCATTTCTTAACCTGAGTTACATCTAAAAACAAGACTTTAATTATTTTCTGTTGAAAATTCATTCAACTTTGGTGCTTATCTAAGAATCTGTAAGGTCAATTTCTGACTAAAATCATATCCCTCAATACATACGTATTTTGAAAAAGAAAACAATCATCTTAAATAATATTTTCCTGTATGGTAATTTATACATTTTTATAGCAAATTGAAATTCTGAGTAAACTGAAGTATGTTTAACAACAAAATACAGCATCCTACCTTATATACTTTCTTATGTACCTTGCAATAGATCTGTTAATCTAGTTGCTTTTTTCTGGAATTTTATAGATATGTTTCTTATGAATCATGTTCCACCATGTTAGAAAGTCATTTTGGCATCAATCTATGCAAAAACTTTTGAGGATATTCCCCAAATGACAGGTAATTTTTAAACTTTCCAGAAATATGGAAATTTTATCATCCATTTAGTCTTACTGAAAAAAGGTTTATTACTACCAATTGCTCTTTTAATTTTGCTCTAACAGATGTTATAAAACTTTAGACATCTTTAATATTTTTGAATTGTACACCCATAGTAGGTAACTAGATAAAACATTAGATGATTTTTTAAAAATCAATCATAGTATCTGACTCATTTGGCACTCCTTATATCCAGTAAAATCAGTAGAAATAAAGTAACAATTTAAAAGAATATCATCAAGCTAGAGTCTTAAGAAAAGAAGCTTCTAAATGCAAGGACAAGAAGGTTTTGCTCATCTTACTAGTTATACACATTTCTCCTCATGGAGTAACTGAGGCTTTCTGGTTTGTTTGTGGAACTTTAGTTTGCAGGAAAGCATATACGTGGGGCCAAATCTTGTTGGTTTCTGTTCCGGAGAATGTTTCCAACACCCCTTTTTTCCTAAAGATGAAAAACAAACAAAACACATGTCTGAGTCTTCCTAATGCACTTTTTTAAAGCTTTTCTATAAATGATAATAATGTAGATTTAGGACTCTTGGTAAGTATAGATCTGTGTGATCAAGATAGAAAGGCACTTACCTGGCTAGGCATTGAAAACCTAGATTTTAGTTTCAGTTGTGCCCTCTGACTTACACAGTTGGGCTTTTAAAAAAATAATAGCACCTATCATTTATTGAGCATGTGCTGTGTGCTAAACCCTGTGCTAAAGGCTTTACATATACCAGTTCATTTAATCCTTCCCAAAGCTCAAAGTTTCTTATCTTACTAATAAAATTGTCTCTTGTGAAGTAACTTAGCCTCAAATCACCCCATTGGTATTTGGGTTCCAGACAGAGCCTGTCAGATACCAGAAAACCCCTTAGCTTTGTCTACTTATTCCTTTGCAAAAACAGCTTCCTAAGACTTGGTTATCTTTCCTTTTTGCCTGGGTTTGTTTTTTCCTTTTTTCTACCCTTCTGAATTTTAACAGAAAGGGGAATAAAAAGTGTTGCTTTTGTTGTTTTTCCTATTGAGCTTTTCCATTTCTCCCCAGGCAGATTTGCCTGGCTTGTCAGCAGACCAGCAGCCAAAGTCTATTTTGTTTACTCCAGTTTCTGTGGGTAGTATGAGGAGTGACGATCAGAATCCTGGGTTTATTTCCAAACCACACATTCCCTAGAGAGATTCTGGCATTCCTCTTGCTAACACCCTTCCTCTAACCTGTGCACACACCTATACATATACACACTGGTTAAAGGCTATATAAGAGCAACTGAAGAACTCTAGTTTATTACTTTCTGACAACAGGATCAGTCACACCTCTGTAACCCTTCTTACTAGGTTTCAGAGGTTACACTAGGGACAAAAGCATTCCTTTCTTGATACCTCATACAATTTGCCATGGTTAAATCACACCTACTAAAACAGTAACAAACATCTGCTAAGGAGGGAGATTATGTAAAATACAGTATTCTCTGGATATGAGAAGCCCTCCTAAATTCACAGCTTTCAAGCGAACAAGCTTCTTTTTTTGTTGTTTGTTTTTTGAGACAGAGTGTCGCTTTATTGCCCAGGCTAGAGTGAGTGCCATGGCATCAGCCTAGCTCACAGCAACCTCAAATTCCTGGGCTCAGGCAATCCTGCTGCCTCAGTCTCCCGAGTAGCTAAGACTACAGGCATGCACCACCATGCCTGGATAATTTTTTCTATATATATTAGTTGGCCAATTAATTTCTTTCTATTTATAGTAGAGACGGAGTCTTGCCCTTGCTCAGGCTGGTTTCAAACTCCTGACTTCGAGCAATCCATCCGCCTCGGCCTTCCAGAGTGCTAGGATTATAGGCGTGAGCCACAGCGCCAGGCCAACGAACAAGCTTCTTGACTGTTGTAAGCTTCTTGAAAAGCCATGTTAAGTCAAGCCAGTGTAACAAGTGGGCTAATTACTGAAGCACCTATTCTATCCAAAACTGTACATTTAGGATGAACATTTGTCATTTTAATTTCTGTATAACAAAATGGGACCAGCTTCAACAAGGGGTCCTCCACAAATAGCATCATGTTGTTTGTAAACATAGACTTATAAATGGCCCATAGCTGAGAAGAGTTTTAAAAAAACAAGTACATTAAAAAATAAATAAAAAAACAAGTACAATTGTTGGCATTTTTAAATAACAATGCTGACTACTACCAAGTTTCTTGCAAATACCACTTTTAATTTTTAGTTAAGTCCAGCCTTAGTTCTATGTGTGGGAACTAAGAAGGAAAAGCTTGAACTAGCTAGCAGAAGGCAGAAGAAGCCTAGAAAGACTTCGCCTAAGACAGGGGTCCTCAAACTTTTTAAACGGGGCCAGTTCACTGTCCCTCAGACCATTGGAGGGCCGGACCATAGTTTAAAAAAACTATGAACAAATTCCTATGCACACTGCACATATCTTATTTTGAAGTAAAAAAACAAACAGGCAAAAACACCCACATATGGCCCACGGGCCGTAGGTTGAGGACGCCTGACTAAGATATCTCCTAAGATAGGAACCCAAGTCATTCACTTCATCGCTGTGGACTTCTCTAACTTCCCTTCCCACATTGTGGCAGAACTAATTCCTACAGCCCTGGTACTTCCTCTGCATTCAGACATTGCCTCTTGCAGTGGTGTTACCTGCCCAGCAACAATGCATCCTCCCTTCTTCTGGTTACTTCTGGGAAACAGTCTGTCAAACTCAGTCCATGAGGTTCAGGTGAGATTGCCCCATTAACTGCCTTCAAGGATGGACATAATCAGAGCTAATCAGTGCCAACCCCAGGACTTTTGCTGGCAAAAGAGGCTTTTTTATGCTGGCATGACTGAACTGGCAGGAGGTGAGCTAGAGTGTTGAGCTGCCACACAGGAAGGGCCCTCCCTCCCCGAGACTGAAGCCAACACTGGACGATGGAGCTGAGCGTGTCTTGAGGACACCTTTTAATCACCTGGACCTAGTCATCTACCTTTGGACTTTTTAGTTACCAATAAATTCCCTTTTGCGTAAGCTAGGTGAATTAGGTTCCTGGTTAATATAAGCATGTATCACACTGTATGATAAATACAGTTTACCCAGCTCTGTGCCTGACCGACATATAGAAGGTGAGTTTCTTGGGGCCTGACAGGGACTGGGTCTAATTGTGTGAACCAAGGGACTAGCACAGTGTCAACAGAGTAAATAATAATCACTGACAGTGATGTAATAGATGCCAGGGCTACTTTAAGTCTTTCCATGGATTCTCCCACATTGTTAATTCCCTTAACAACACTATAAAGTAGGTACTATTTAATATCGCCTCATTTTACAAATAAGGAATTTGTGGCATGGAGGTTAAATACTTTGCCCAAGGCCGCAGAGCTGGTAATCTATAGAGCCAGGCTCATTATACAAATCACGAAATTACAGTAACAGCTACTATAAAAAGTGAATTGCCAGCTCCCTTGTAATTTCACCATCCTGAAATAACTATTAAAACAGTTTGGAGACTATTGCTTCAGATTTTTATTGCATACTTACTCTGTTACAACAACAGTAATAGCTAACATTTATGTAGTGCTTAGTATGTGTCAGGCACAATTCTAAGAGTTATATATATTAACTTAGTCATTCAATCCTCTATTCTCACCCCCAATTTACAGAGGAGAAAACAGGTAGAGGTTAAGCAAGAGGTAAAGACAAAGTTAATTAAATGGTGAGTTGGGACTTGAACTTTGGCATTCTGGTTCCAAAGTCTGTGCTCTACCCATAACCTGTACTACCCTGACACTGAATCATTATTCAGTAAGTGAATCAATGGAAGGGAAGGCGATCAACCCTCTTTGGAAGGAGAGGGAAAGGCTGAGTAAGAACTAGACTGTTTCTTAGCCTGAGTCAGATATGAACTCATTATAGTTCCCATATTTCCTGTGTGCTATGAATTCCCTGAAAAGCAGACAAAATAATGTTAGCATTTAAGCTTTTAAAGCCTGCTAGCCAAATAAATGATCTGAGCGACTATTTGCCATTTGAGATTCTTCTGTGCTATACCATCCCTCTGTTGGCAATGGGATTATTAGGTTTGCCTCCCCAGCATTCGTTCCAGCCTTCCTTGCACTACAGAAGATACCCAATTTATGATGATTGAACTTAGATTTTTTGACTTGATGATAGTCTAAAATCAATATGCATTCAGTAGAAATTGTACTTTGAGTACCCATACAAGCAAGCATTCTGCTTTTCACTTACAGTAACAGCCTACTATAAATTAACTATTACTGTAATTATAGTATTCAGTAAATCACATGATGTGTGGCGTTTTCAAATTATGATAGGTTTTTCAGGATGTAATTCCATGGTAAATTGGGGAGCACCTGCACATAGCATAGTGTGGGTGAGACTGACCCACCCCAGTTCTGGGTGGGGACTAATCAGTGGAATCAGTGTAATGCCTGCCACCCCAGTGACTGGTTCAGGAATGGGCAGTAACCCACGCCTAAAACGGTGCCAGGCAATCCCTGACTACAGTGGCTGTTAAAGCTGACTCAATCTGAGTGATGCTCGGGCTTGTTTTCACTGTGGGAAAGGTTATCCCTCAGCCCTTCATGAAAGAGGGCTTGACTATTCCTGCAGATGCCTGTGACCATTCAGGAAGCCTGAGGACAAAGCCAATACAAAAAGCCAAGAGAATGGCAAAACTCTGATCAAACCTAGGAGGGACAGAAGCCCAGCCTACCTTCTGGACTTCTGTTACATAAACTAATACATTTCCTTTATTGCTTAAGCCAATTTGAATTGGGTCTTCTGGTATGTTAGCATTTCAGCTGTGAAGTATGGAAAATCAAAAACTGACGTCGTGCTTCATCATGCAAGAGAAGTTCTGAAAAGCAAAAACTCACTGGTAATATTCCAGGACTGGCTTCGTTTGGGCTTCATAAGCCTTCAGTCTCTTGATAACCGTCTCTGGTCGGTCATCCTCACGCTGAACGAGAGGCTCCCCAGTCACATCATCAATGCCCTAAATGGGAGTTAGAAGAGACTAGCATCAAGTATCATGTTTTTGAAGGATTTTTTTTTTCTTTCTTACTTTTTTTTTTCCCAACTGACAGTGGCTTCCTGGGGATTGAAGGATGTTTTTATAAACCGTTCTATTTTTTTTAAACATAAATCTTCTCTGTGAAAGCAATAAGCACAACAATGTGCTAACTTTTAAATAAATGGAGTCCAACCTAAAGACAGATCATTGCAACACAGAGCCAGAAGACCCCAGGATTATTTCCATAGTTATCAGTCACCTTCTCCTTAGATTAAAAGGTTTTCTAAGCAGCCTATAAGTAATTTCATACATATACAAAAAGATTCAGCTACAGACTGGGAATCACAATTATAAGCCCTAAATAAGCCAAGATGTTATATCTCTGTCACCCCAAATCTTAACACACTCCCAGGCACAGTGTAGGAAATCACTGAATGGTTTTGAATGAATAACAACCCCCTGCTCCTGAGGCACCGAAACCAGCAAGTTGAGTGGACTCTATACCACTGGACTAGACCAAGTAACCTGAGAATATTCCCCAAGGAATTTTGGTCACCAGAGGATTTCCAAATTCAGGAAACTTACATTTGTGAGGGCAAGAGGACTGGAGGACAGTAGTCTGCTATATGTCAGTTCCACAACAACTACTCACCACAGTTTTGGGAGGGTTGAATTCAATGTTGTAGACGCGGCCACTGGCTGGATGAATCCAGCGAGCAGTGAGACGTTGTTTAATGACCTCAAAGGGCACATTCAGGTTAATCACTGTGTCTATCTGATGAACTTTATCTAGGGCTTCTGCCTGTGGAACTGTCCTTGGAAAACCTTTATAAAGTAAACAAAAAGAAAAAATTAAAAAAAAAAAAAAAGGAAGCAAGGAGAAGGGGAAGGAAGGAAGAGAGAGAGAGAAGAAAGAATTAATGTGCAACCTGAACAAACGGAATAACAGCAGGCAGGCTGATCACAGCTATAGGGCAACAGTGGTTATGTGTCAATTTGATGGGGCCATGAAATGCCCAGATATTTGCTAAAGCATTATTCTGGGTGTGTCTGTCAGGTGTTTTTGTATGAAATTAACATTTAAAAAGGTAGGCTGAGTAAATAAAGTGTATTCCCCTCCCTAATGTGGGTGTGGCCAGACTACCTTCTAACTGGGACATTGGCTTTTTCCTGACTTTGGACTCAAACTGAACTCATCAACTTCACTCAAATTCAAGAGGCTATTTTTGGAATATGACAAAATGATCTTAAAGTTCAGCTAAAAGAAAATTATTAATGCAAAGGAACAAACCCTAACAGATAAACAAATGTATTATATGGCTAAATAATGTGGTTCAAAAATAGAGAGACAGGCAAATGTAACTGATCAGTGAATCCAGAAATAGACCCATATATATTAGGGAATTGAAAATCACAGTATTTTGATCCCAAATTTTTGACTTTTCAGTATTGTTATTAAGGACATTTTGTCCAGAACACCAGGAAAAACTGGTAGAAATAATACATTTTCCAAAAGTGACAAAGTAAGGCTGGGTGCAAGGGACTCATGCCTGTAATCCTAGAACTCTGGGAGGCTGACAAGGGAGGATTGCTTGAGGTAAGGAGTTCAGGACCAGCCTAAGCAAGAAGCAAGACCCCATCTCTACAAAAAGTAGAAAAACTAGCTGGGTGTGGTGGCATGCACCTGTAGTCCCAGCTAGTAGGGAGGCTGAGGCAGGAGGATTGCTTGAGCCCAGGAGTTTGAGATTGCAATGTATTATGATGAGGCCACTGCACTCTAGCTGAGGTGACAGAGCAAGACCCTGTCTCCAAAAAGAAAAAAAAAGTGACAAAGTAAAATTACGCATGCTATAATTTGTTAGAGCTAAAAATACTATCTGAAAAATTACCTTTTCTTGTTAATACTGAAAGGTAGAAATATTTGCCAGTGACCTAGACCTTGTAATGTACTAAAATAACAATGATAATAGCTAAAATTGTACCCAGGAAACCTGGATTTGGGGAAAATCAGCCCCCAAAGAAAGCATATAATGGCAAAAGCTCAATCTATAAAATTTTATATAGCCCCCAAATTGAATAAAAAAGCAAATATTTATTATAACATTTACAATGAAGTAAGTGATCCTGGTGAAAATAATTTTAGTACATTTAATGAGAACAAATGGACTATGATAGCTAAGTCTCTTGAGCACTTTCTAGATGCCAGACACTGTATGCGAAATGTTTTATAAGGATCACTTCTTTTGGTCATCATAAGCCTAAGACAGGTACTACTATTATTTCCACTCTCCAAATGAGGAAACTGAGGCACAGTGAGGTTAGGTAACTTACTCTATTAATAGCTCTCAAAGATACTAATTAAGTGGTAGAAGTGGGATTTGAACACAAGCTGTCTAACCCAACAACTATGCTTATAACCATGGGGTTTGTACTAAAAAAAAACAAAGTCTAAGTAAAAATACCTCTGTTGGGGTATAATTCTGATTAAAATGTTTACACTCATGAACCCAGAAATTCTCATAAATGTAGAATCCAACAGCCACTGAAACAAAAGTTTTAAATCAAAATACCCTCTAATGAGAAGCAGGAGTACAGCCATCCCTCGGTATCTGTAGGGGATTAGTTCCAGGAGGCCAACATCCTTTTTAATTTTTAAAAGGGAAAGGTATTTTTTCAATAGAACAATGACAACAAATGCAAAAAAAGTTAAAAGCTCCACATTCCAAACCCTTCCCATCTGGGTCTGTGGTCTGTTCCCCCTCTGCCCCTTGTGGATCCCCATGGCTGGTCTCATGGGTGGCTTGTCACTTTCCTGTGCCGGTGGCACCTCCTCTCTGTCTTTGGTAACTCTGTGCCTGCAGCCTGAAATGCCTCGTTTCTCCACCCACATGATTCTACTCATTCTTCAAGACCTCCCACAAATGGAATGTTTCTCAACCCCTTCCATCTCATGTAGAAGCAAGACTGAAACTTTTTAAAATAAAGTTATGAATTCTGAGCCATGCAACTTTATTTTCTATAAAAAAGAAAAGCACGCAGTAGTATCTGTACTTAGCCAAGTTTTTGTCTATTTACTACTTGTCTCCTACTGGAATGCACTTTCCCCAAGGGGAAAGCAGGAGCCAGGGCTGCAGGGCTTGGCAAGGGCAGCGTGGAGTGTGTGCACGTGGGGGGAATGGGGCTGAGTAGGAGAAGGTGTGTAACTACCAAGGCTAGATTAGTGTACTGTCTTCCCCAAAAGGATATTGTGGCTCAGATTTCCTTCAAGGAAAAGCTTATAAATTTTATAAAAACAAATCCCTTTTGTGTCCTTTCTATATTAAAACTAAAAATCACTCTATCCTCAAGGATTCTACCACACCTCTGGCTAGGGAAAGTCTACAGCTTACTGTAAGTTACTCTGAGCTTCCTTCTTTTGAGGTGATCCTCCCTCATTATAGAATATTCTCAAAGGAGGGGGGAAGAAACTAAAATGACATCTGAAGGGAGCAGAGAAATCATGCAATCCACTTCTGTGTTTCTATTCGAATAAAGAACCAGTGCCAGAGATGACTGGCCCAAGGCCTCAGGGTGGTGAGGGGCAGAACTCAGGCCCTCCCCACCTGACTGCCATCCTTGATGTCTGTGCGAAGCTCACTGTCCTGGCAGCACTGATAACTGTAGGCAGCTGAAATGATCACGACACTAACACTTACCATCCAACAGCCAGCTATACTGGGTGAGATTTTTCAGCTCATGAAGGGCCAGCCGAGTCATGACATCATCTGGGATGAGTTTCCCTTGGTCGATGAAAGCCTTGGCTAACACACCAATTTCTGCAGCAGAGGGGGAAGAAATCAGTAAGTGCATTTGTTTTATCCCATCCCGGGTCCCTAGGAACAGGCTGCCTAAAGGGGACCTCTGGATGACATACCCATATGAAAGTGGTAAAAACAGAGGTTACAAAACAATCTAACCTACTTCAAATTCTCCATTACGGAAAAACATATAAATGTAAATATATAAACCAAAAAAATAAAGTTATAGTCCAGTATGTTAACAGTAGTCATCTCTGTGTGATAGAACTAGGAGTGATTTTGCTTTACAAATTTGCATTTTCCTGTATTTTCTAAATTTTCTATCAGAAAAAATATATGGGATAACTGAAAATATTTTTTTAAATAAGAATTTAAAATAGTCATTATTTTGAAGTGGTTCAGTTTAAGTGCCTGCTCTCATATGTTACTATGTAGATTTTTCCAATCCTGTAAAACAGATGCTGCTCTCATAATACAATTCAAGTTTTGACCAGATTAGGTCTGTGATCATATTACACTTTTATTAATAAAACACCCTGGAAAAGGATTTATGAACAATTTAAAAATATTACCTACAACTATATGTCATTCTTAAGCAAGAGTATTTTATTTTCTCATGTTCCCTTATTAAACTATATACATTAAGAATTTTTATACTGTTGTAATCTGTGCACATACCATCGTAAATCCTTTTTCTCCATTTTTAGCATTATTTTGTAAATACTTTTCAGTGATTTTATATAGTAATTTTTGGTAACTATATTATATTCCTTCAATATATAAAATTAATATGTAAAAATATACTATCGTAACAGTACTGTTGGACATTTCAATTATGTAAATTAGTCTTGGTTTTTCCTTATCACTGATGCTCTTAATGATCTTAACACCCTTTCTTTTTTGCTTTTCTGAATTATTTCTAATGGATAAATTCCCAGGAGTCAGATCAAAGGGTCACGGAACATATGAACATTTTTCATAACTCTTGGTATGAACTGCCATGTTGACCTCAAAACAGAATCTAAATTGTCAAATTCATGAAATGGTCAGACCAAGAACTTTAACTACATGGAGACTGGCTGCCATTCAACCGCTGTACTGCTGGATTTATAAACTGCATTTAGAAAAGGGCCTGGGTTCTGAGACAGAGCTTTCAGGGCTCACTAAAATAGCCTGTTGGAAATGTGTGGACCCCTCTGTCTCCAGGCTTTTGACCTCCACTCTGAGGAGATAGAGCTCCAGCCTCATCAACAGCGCTTGGGAAAAACTATAAAAACTTGCAATTCTCCAGAGCTGAGTCCTGAAAAAACTGGTATTGGTGCCTCCCCTCAACTTTCACTCTTTAGGCCAACTCTTCTAAACCCCCAACCAACTGCAACAAATGGATTTAGATGATGAGATTAATTAATAAAGCACTTAGTTTCATCTGTTCATGAACAGCTTTAAGATAAGATGATCTTCTCTTGCCACTTCTATTCAATATTGTACTAGAGATACTAGCCAGGGCAATTAATCCAGAAAAAGAAATAAAAAGCATCCAGAAAAGAAGTAAAACTATTTCTATTTGCAGATGACATGATCTTCTATATAGAAACTCCTAAGGGATCCACTAAAAACTATTAGAACTAATAAATGAATCCAATAAAGTTGCAGGGTACAGGATCAATATACAAAAACCTAGCAATGAACAATCTGAAAATGCAACTAAGAAACAATTCCATTTATAATTGCATAAAAAGAATTAGAAAATTAGTAATACATTTTTTAAAGGTACAAAAGTTTTGATCTGAAAACTACAATATTGTTTAAATAAATTAAAGAAGACCTAACTAAATGGAAAGAAATCTCTTATTCATGGCTTGTAAGAGTTAATATTCTTAGAATGGCTGTACTCTCCAAAAATGATCTACAGAGTCAATGCAATTCTAGCTGGTATCTTTGCAGAAATTGACAAGCAGATCCTAAAATTCAAATGGAAATGCTAGGGACCCAAAATAATCAAAACAATCTTGAAAAAGAAGAACAAAGATGAAGGACACAAACTCCCAATTTCAAAACATCAATCAAGACTGTGTGGTACCAGCATAAGAGACATAAAGATTAATGGATTAGAATTGGAGTCCAGAAATAACCTCTCAAATTTACTCTCAACTGATTTTTATCAAGGATGCCACTATAAATCAATGGGGAAAAAAACAGTCTTCACAACTGAATATCCAGATGCAAAAATGAAGTTGGACCTCTACTTCATACCCTATATAAAAATTAACTCAATAGGAATCATAGGACTAAATGTAAGAGCTAAAAATATAAAACTCTTAAAAGAAAACATAGGTATAAATCTTCATGACTTTGCCTTAGGCAATGATTTCTTAGATGCAAAACCAAGAGAATAGCCAAGAAAGGAAAAAATACATAAACTAGACTTCATTAAAATACATAAACTAGACTTTCATTAAAATTAAAAACCTTTGTGCTTCAAAGAACACCAACAAAGCGAAAAGACAATCAATGGGATGGGAGAAAATTTATGTAAGTCATATATCTGATAAGGAACTTGTATCTAGAATAGCTAAAGAACTCTTATAGCGCAACATTTAAAAAAAAAACGTAAAAATGGGCACAGGATCTGAATACACATTTTTCCACAGAAATATACATATAGCCAAAAAGCACGAGCATAAAAAATGCTCAACATCATGAGTCATTAGGGAAATGCAAACTAAAACACAATGAAATACCATCTCACGCTTAATCAAAAAGACAGATACAGGCATAGCTCAGAGCTCTTGTGGGTTTGGTTCCAGACCACCGCGATAAAGTGAATATGGCAATCAACTGAGTCACACAAATGTTTTGGTTTCCCAGTGCACATAAAAGTTATCTTTACATTATACTGTAGTCTAATAAGTGTGCAATAGCATTATGTCTAAAAAACAATGTACATACCTTAATTTAAAAATATTTTATTTCCAAAATATGCTAATGATCATCTGAGCCTTGAGCAAGTTGTTATCTTTTTGCCGGTGGAGGGTCTCGCCTGGATGTTCACAGCTGCTGGCTGCTCAGCAGCGTGGTGGTTGGTGAAGTATGAGGTGGCTGTGGTAATTGCTTAAAATAAGTCAACAATGAAGTTTGCTGCATTGATGGAGTCTCCCTTTCACAAAGACTTCTCTGTACCATGTGATGCTGTTTGACAGCATTTTACCCACAGCAGAACTTTAGAAATTAGAGTCCATCCTCTGAAACCCTGGCACTGCTTCATCAACTAAGCTTATGTCATATCCTAAACTCTTTGTTGTCATTTCAATGATGTTCCCAGCATCTTCACCACAAGTAGATTCCATCTCCAGAAACTACTCTCTTTGCTCGTTCATGCAACTACTCATCTGTCACAAAGTTTTTCATGGCATTGCAGCAATTCAGTCACATCTTCAGGCTCCACTTCTACTCCTCTTGCCGTTTCTCCCACAGCTGCATTTCCTTCCCCGATTGAATTCTTGACCCCTCAAAGTCATCCATGAGGGTTGGAATCAACTTCTTCCAAACTCCTGTTAATGCTGACATTTTGACCTCCCCCTCCCATGAATCACAAATGCTCCTTATGGCACCTAGAATCCTTTTCAGAAGGTTTTCAATTTACTTTGCCCAAACACAACAGAGCAATCACTATCTATAGCATCTATACCCTTAAATAAGACTTGAACATTGAAATTACTCCTTGTACGGGATACAGAATGGGTGTTGTATTAGCAGGCATGAAAACGATATTCCTTTCCTTGTGCATCTCCATCAGAGCTCTTGGGTGAACAGGTGGAGTCAATGAGCAGTAATATTTTCAAAGGAATCTTTTTTTCTGAGAAGTAGATCTCAAAGTGGCCTTGAAATATTCAGTAAACCATGCTGTAAACAGATATGCTGTCATCCAGGCTTTCTTTTCCATTTATAGAGCAAAGGCAGAGTAGATTTAGCATAATTCTTAAGGACACTAAGATTTTCAGAATGGCAAATGAGCACTGACTTCAACTTAAAGTCACCAGCTACATTAGCCCCTAACAAGAGTCAGCCTGTCCTTTGAAGCTTTGGAGCCAGGCATTGACTCCTCTTCAGCTATCAAAGGTCTAAATGGCATCTTCTTCCAATAGAAGGCTGTTTCATCTACATGGAAAAAATTGTTCTTTAGTGTAGCCACCTTCATCATTGATCTTAGCTAGATCTTCTGGATAACTTGTTGCAGCTTCTAATACACACTTGTTTACGCTTTTATGTTCTGGAGATGTTTTCCTTAAACCTCATGAACCAAGCTGCTAGCTTCAAAGTTTTCTTCTGCAGCTTCCTCAATTCTCTCAAACCTTCATAGCATTGAAGAGAGTTAGGGCTTGCTCTGGATTAGACTTTGGCTTAAGGGAATGTTGTGGCTGGTTTGATCTATCAGACCACTAAAACGTTCTCCATATCAGCAATAAGGTTGTTTCACTTTCTTATCATTGCTGTGTTCACTGGAGTTGCACTTTTAATTTCCTTCAAGGACTTTTCCTTTGCAGTCACAACTTGGCTGTTTGGCACAAGAAGCCTACCTTTAGGCCTGTCTCAGCTTTCAACATGCCTTGCTCACTAAGCTTAATCATTTCTTGCTTTTGATTTAAAGTGAGAGATGTACCACTCTCTTCATTTGAACACTTAGAGGCCATTGTAGGGTCATTAATTGGCTTAATTTCAGTACTGTTGTGTTTCAGGGAAGAGGGAGGCCCAAGGAGAGGGAGAGAGACTGGGGAACGGCTAGTTAGTTGGTGGAGTGGTCAGAACATACAACATTTACCGCATAAGTTTGCCTTCTTGTATGGGCTTGGTTCCTGGCACCCTAAGTCCTTCACGTAACATCAAATATCACTGATCACAGATCATCACAACAGATATAGTAATAATGGAAACGTTTTAAATATTTCAAGAATTACCGAAATGTAACACAGAAATGGGAAATGAGCACATGGAGGAAAAATGGCAGCAATAGACTTGCTCAACACAGGGTTGCCACAAGTAAAAAATATAGTATCTGAGAAGTACAATAAAATGAAGTATGCCTGTAATAAGTGTTGGCAAGAATGTGGAGAAACTGTAACCCTCATATATTGCTGGTAGGATTATAAAATGGTATAGCCAATTTTTAAAACACTCTGGTAGTTTTAAAAGATTAAAGAGAGTTACCATGTGACATAGAAACTTCTCTCCTAGGTATATACCCAAGAGAAATAAAAACATGTCCACACAAAAATCTGTACATGAATGTTCATAGCAGTATTATTCAAAATAGCCAAGAAGTGGAAACAACCCAGATGTCCATAAACTGATGAATAAATAGAATGTGGCCTATCCATATAGCGGAATATCAACCAGCGCTAGAAAGAAACAAAATACTGATACACATTACAACATGGATGAAATTTGAAAACATGCTCAGTGAAGGAAGCCAAAAACAAAAGACCACATATTATGTGATTCCATTTTTATAAAATGTGCACAGTAGGCAAATCTAAACAGACAGAAGGAAGATTAGTAGTTGGGGAGATTAGGGAGAAATGGGTAGTGACTACTAATCTGAATAGGGTTTCTTTGGGGGGGGGTGATAAAAATGTTCTAAAATCAATCGAGGTGATGGTTGCACAACTCTGGATATACTAAAAACCAGCCAGACATATACTTTACAAGGGTTAATTTTATGGCATATAAATTAAATGTCAATATATTTTTTTTTTAAAAAAAAAGAACAGATGAAAAATTCCTGATAAGCAAAAACAAAAAAAAAAGAAAAGGAAAAGCCACTCAGAATCCCATCACTACTCAGTGATAATTACTGTATAAAAACTTCCAGATACTTTGAGTTTTGTATACATATAGATAATCCTAATCCTTTTCTACAAAGTTATACACAAATAAAAACAAGAAAGGAAGGTCAGAGTAAAATAAGGAAGGTCAAAACTAACTTTTTTTTTTTTTTTTGAGACAGAGTCTCACTTTGTTGCCCAAGCTAGAGTGAGTGCCGTGGCATCAGCCTGCTCAGAGCAACCTCAAACTCTTGGCTGAGCAGTCCTACTGCCTCAGCTTCCTGAGTAGCTGGGACTACAGGCATGCACCACCATGCCCGGCTAATTTTTTCTATATATATTAGGTGGCCAATTAATTTCTTTCTATTTATAGTAGAGATAGGGTCTCGCTCTTGCTCAGGCTGTTTCAACTCCTGACCTCGACAATCTGCCCACTGGCCTTCCAGATGCAGATTACAAGCCATTGACCACCGCACCGGGCCCAAAACTAACTTTTAAGGATAATAACCAGAAATCCTAAAATATGTAGACGTTAGTATGAGAATAAGTGCTTGTATTATATAAAAAACAATTTTTAATTCTGTATCTACTTCTGAAGCCTGGTCATTCTCACAACATCTCACACTGCAACCCAAACCAACCACCTCTCATATCTGAATGAGCTTATTCGAATTTAGTCTGGGCAGCTATGAAGTACAAAAGACAGATGTGACCTACCTGCACATAACTGTTTTCTTTTACATGCAACAACAGAAAGGGCTACAGAGAATTAACCTAGGTCCTGCCAAAATTGCTTTTAGCATCATTACATAATAAACTACGTAAAACTTTACCTTTAAAAATGTGTCTAAACAAAACAAAATGAAACTAGAAGAATGTCAGGGAATGACTTAAATAATTAGCTTTTTTTAAAAAAAAAAAACAAAACCTTTCTCAAATAATAAACACTTGAGTCAACATGGCAGTTACCTTTGAGGGGCAGGAAGGAGATGTGCATGGGAGGGGTTGGGGGGAAGTCCTGGTTTTCTCTCTGGTCGTGGGTCAGTGGTGCTCATTTATTCTTCTAACCATATGTCGACTTGATAATTCTTTGAGACATGGGATATTTCACAAGAATCATATCGAAAACAAAAGCCTCCCTTGACCATTGGTCTTCCCTAACCATCACCCAATCTTTCTCCTCTTCTGTGAAGCATCTAGAAAGCAGAGTTCCCTTTCCAGGTCTACACTCCACCCCTTCCCATTCACTCTACTGTAGCATAAATTCTCGGTTACATAAAAGCCCACCTGGGTCCAGCCTCATCTGACTCCTCCCCCCCCCATCCTCCCCATTTGTACTTGACCCTCAAACCCCCATCCCCCAAGGAGCTCTGCATCCTGTGGATCCTCCCAGTCTTTGCACAAGCCCCATGCGCCCCTCTTTGGCCTGATAAGCTCTTACTCATCTTTCAACATACATCTTAAAGGGGTCTTCATAGAGAGGTGTCTCTCAACCTCCTAGGCAACTAGGACTTCCATGATGTCACAAACTTGTCTCTATTGGGACACACATCACACTGCTAAAAACTATGTGTTTACATGTTTTATGGACTAAATTGTGCTTCTCAAATCCACATGTTGAAACCCTAAGCCCCCATGTGACTATTTTTGGAGACAGAGGCTTTAAGGACCTAACTGAGATTAAAAGAGGTCATAAGGATGGGCTATTAATCCAATAAGATTGGTGTCCTTACAAGAAGAGGATGAGTGGAAAGGGTATTTAATTGGCACACAAAGAAACCTGGGTTGTTTTCATCCTAGTTCTTCATGAAATACTTCTACTACTGAACAAAGTCTTTAACTTCTCCTGAACTCAGTTTCCTCATCTTTCAAAGAAAAGATTGTACTATATGTCTGCAGCTCAGATTTAAGATTCTTGACTTCAAGGTTCAGTGGTGGTCTACAGTTACTCCAGGCTTGCTACAGTCATGGGTTGCCCAGTGTTTCCACTGTCCTTATATCTTCTGAGATGATTTTAAACTTTAGGTATAAAATACAAGCATGGGTTACAAAATACAGCACCTTCGTGAAATGGTGGTTGGAAAGTAAATTGGTGCAATCCTTCTGTAGCTTTATTTAATGGTGCTAGTAGAAATTCCACACTAGGAATTTATTTGAAGGAAATAAACAAGGATGCAGCCAAATGTACATTTACAAGGACAGTCATAGCAGTATTTATTATAGCAAAGAACGATCAACAGGGTCAGTGGCTAACAATAGGAAAATGCTTGAATTAATAATTATGGAACCTTGATGAAATTAAGTATCATTTTAAGACTGCTTAATGACATGTGAACATGTTCGACTTTGCAAATACAAATGCAACAAGGAGAAAAAAAGATAAAGGAAAAAAAGAATAAAACATAAAGAATGAAATGGATTTCTAGGTCTTCATGTGGAAAAATATCCCAGATATAAAGTGAAAACATGGTTATTTATTACATAAAATAAAGGATACACATATATGTGCTTGTACATAAGTAAACACTTCTAAAAGGATATACACACTGGTCGTCTATGAAGAATGGGACCGAGGCAAGAAAAGGACTTTGCTTTTTATTTTATGCAATCCTATCCTGTTTCCAATCCTTTAAAAAAAAACCCTTGTGTAGGCATTATTTCTATGTAAACAGATTTCAAAAAGAGTTTCCAACGGGTTCTGTTTTGGAAAGTAAAGGTCAACACTTCAGAGAAAAGAAATTTATCCTGCTGTTGACTTTTTTAAAGCAGTGTTCTTAAAATAGAATTTATATACCGCAAATTCACCCATTGTAAAATGTACAAATTGCTGACTGGATTTTTTTTTTTTTTGAGACAGAGTCTCACTCTGTTGTCCAGGCTAGAGCGAGTGCCGTGGCGTCAGCCTCGCTCACAGCAACCTCAAACTCCTGGGCTCAAGCTATCCTCCTGCCTCAGCCTCCCGAGTAGCTGGGACTACAGGCATGTGCCACCATGCCCGGCTAATTTTTTCTCTCTATATATATTAGTTGGCCAATTAATTTTTTTCTATTTATAGTAGAGATGGGGGGGGGTCTTGCTCTTGCTCAGGCTGGTTTCCAACTCCTGAGCAATCCGCCCGCCTCGGCCTCCCAGAGTGCTAGGATTACAGGCGTGAGCCACCGCGCCGGGCCTGCTGACTGGATTTTATGCTGAGTTACAAGCATTTATTTGGCACGAGTAATAAACGATCTTTTATGTAACCACGCCTAAGAAAAGCCTTCGTGTTTAAGAAATCTCTGGGGATGTCAAAATCTAAGCCAATTCTGTGACTGCAACAAGGACAAATAATAACGCTCGGCATTCAGACAGCAGAGGAAAGGTCAGAACTACAAGATCCCACAGAGCGCCACAACTGCACAAAGTACGGGGAAAAGAGCAACCGCGGGCAGGGCGTGCGCCTGTTTCCTCAGTGCCAGGGCACGTGGGGAACGAGCCACAGCCCGGCTCCACGGACCCTCGAGAGCGGCCGCGACCCGGACAGACGAGCCTCTCACACAAAGCCGAGTGCTTTCCTTTCACATTGAAACTTCCAGCGTGCCCTAACTTCCTAGTCCCTTTCCCCCGCTAACCGGCCCGAAGCTGCCCTCGGAGACCAGAGGCTGCGGGCCTCAGTTTCTCCCCGGCAGCGGCAGGGAAATGCCGCGTCCGCATTCGGGACCCGCTTCCCCCACCTGGGCCCCTCGGCCGGCACACCCGACCCGCGCGACCGCGCGCAGCCGGCCCTCCTCCGCCCAGGGCTCCCACCTGTGCCCCGCAGCATGTTGTCTCGGAGCAGGTCCCCGCTGGAGAGGTGCTTCAGCTCGAAGTGCTGGGTGATGCGCGACGACACGGTGCCCTTGCCCGAGCCCGGGGCGCCCATGATGACTGCGCGCAGGAGCCGCGCGGACGCCCCCATGGCCGCGGACAGGCCCCCGCCGCGCGACAGTGGCGCTCCGGCCCGGCCTGCGCGCCCGCCCGCCCGCCCGCTCCGCAGCCCCGGGCCGAGGCTTCGCAGCGCCGCTAGCAGGCTGCGGCCGCGGCGTCCAGGCGTTCCCGGAAGTGAGGCGACAGCCACCGGGGCTGCTCCGCCCGCGCCCGGCCCCGCCGCTGCGCCCGCCCGCCGCGACCCCGGCGCGCCCCCTCCTCGGCGCCCGGCCCAGCCGGCGCAAGCCGCGCCTCCTCCGCGCTGCCGCCGCGCCCCTGCGAGCGCCCGGCCGCCCGGCGTCCACCTGCGCCCCTCCGCGCCTCCTCCCCACTCGCCCGCCCCGCCCTGCTGCCCGCGGCTTCCCCTCGGCGCCCCCTTTGCCCGCCTCCGCCGCCAGGGATTCCCCGAGAGCTCTTCGGTGACCCCTGCATGCCCTTCACTCCCTTCAGATCCGTCCCGCGTCCTGTCCTGCCCGGTCTCAACCGGATAGACCGCGCTCCTCTCAGTTCACCCTTGGCAACCCCTGCGCGTCCCCTCTACCTCTAGTCGCCCCTTGGTCGCCGCACTCCACCCGCGTCCCCCAACACTCTTTTCGTACCCTTCGCTCCTGGTCCATGCCAGGCCCTGTCCTACCCAGTGCCAGCCAGATACGCCCGCTCGCATCCCCTTTCCCCTCTGCTCCCCAGGGACACCAGACACCCCCCCCCTCCCCCCAGCACTTCCGTCCTCTCCCTCCTTCCTCCTGCTCAGCTGCTGAGCGCCCTCTCTTCCGCCTAGGTCTCTACAATCTCAGATAATGACAATGAGCCGAAGGGGTCTCCCTGCCCTTTCCACGGGAGAAGAAGCCCAGTTTTCATTAAGTGAGGTGCACTAAGTCACACGCCTAGTGAGAGGTGTCTCTTACCTCCCAGGGTCACACTTTCAGACTCAAAAGTAGCTGCTATTTTTACTCTGCAGAGCTCAAAAAGTACTGACTCTTCAGATCTCGCGATTCACCTTCAGAAATGCATTCACTCCATAAATACTTATTCAGTGCCTACTGTGTGCCAGATATTGTTCCTAGGGGCTCCGAGGATACTTGAAGTTTAAAGTCTAGTGGTGGAGGTAGACCATAACAAGGAAACAAATAAATGAGCAAGATAATTTGAGATAATGCTGCGAATAAAATAAAATAGCATGTATGAAAGTGTAGAGGGAGACTACTTTAATTTTAATTTTTTTATTTTTTTTGAGACTCTGCTGCCCCGGCTAGAGTGAGTGCCGTGGCGTCAGCATAGCTCACAGCAACCTCAAACTCCTGGGCTCAAGCTATCCTGCTTCAGCCTCCTGAGTGGCTGGGACTACAGGCAAGTGCCACCATGCCTGGCTAATTTTCTCTATATATTTTTAGTTGGGCAATTAATTTCTTTCTATTTTTTAGTAGAGACAGGATCTTGCTCTTGCTCAGGCTGGTCTGGAACTCCTGACGTTGAGTGATCCACCTGCCTCAGCCTCCCAGAGTGCTAGGATTACAGGTGTGAGCCACCATGCTGGGCCAGGGAGACTATTTTAGATCAGGTGGTCAGTAAAGCTTTGCAGAGATGGCATTTGCTCTAAGCACTGAATTAGAATATGGAGGGAGAGAGACACAGGCAAGAGGGGAGGAAGGCCCTGGAAGGGAATATTCAGCATGTTCAAGCATAGAAACAGAAGACAAACATTTGAGTACCATTTTATCTGTAAAATGAACGTAGGAGATTGGTAGGGAAAGGTTAAAATAATGTATGTAAAGTACTTAGTGCAATATCAGCTACAGGGTAAGTGTTCAGTGAAGTCCATGAATTATCATTTCTTTGTGCTGGGACACTATGCTAAGGCAGAAAGAAAGCTCTGTGAAAATAAACAAGGTGCCATCCTCCTCAAAGGTTGCCAAATGAGTGCTCCAAAACTGATTTAAAAGAAGGTAGAAATTATTTTAGGGAGGGATGGTAAGGGACGGTTTACTCAGTGAGCAAATCTGAACTTGGTGAATGGGGGATTTTAATAGGTAGACAACCCTGTATTTAGAAAGAAAATGCATGGCCAGGTGTGGTGGCTCATGCCTCTAATCCCAGCACTTTGGGAGGTCAGGAGTTTGAGATCAGCCTGGGGCAACCTAGCAAGACCCTCCTCTACCAAAAAAAAAAAGTGCATAGTTCATATATATTCATTACTAAGCAAGAAAGAATGAAAATAAATGAATTAAGCATTTCGTCTATGTAGTTAGAAAAAAGGACATCAAAATAAGGAAAGCAGAAGAAGGGATTAAGTAAACAGTATAAATGAAAGGATGAGAAAACTTAAACAGAACTAACAAAAGAATGAAAAAGTCTG